GGGTATTAGGAACCATCCTTGATTTCTCTTGTTTCATTCTTTCTCTTTCTGGAGCTGCTGCATATGCACTCCTCTTTCTCTTATCTTTCTGTTTCACACTAATGCACCCACTTGGGGATTAGTCTCTTACTTCTATGCATGCGCCTGCATGTGGCTATGCGCGTCTCAGACTTACGCACCCTTTTGGGAAAGCAGGCTATGTCATTGTGTCCTCTTTGGTCTTAGCAGCCACCTTCTGGGCCGTGGTGTTTCAGTTTGATATTTTTCACTTGATCCTTTTCTCAAACCACAAGCTGGCCACTCCCCAGATTTTGTATATAAGGAGCCATGTTTTCCCCTCATCATTTGTTCCATCATCAGTTCCCTGACGTGCTCAGCCTGGTCACTTAGTTAGTTATTGTCCTTAGTCATAGTCCTCAGGTAAAGTCCTCAGGTAAAGTACTTAGAAAATATTATCACACCTTGCTAGTCAGAAATTGTCCGCCACATCTTCAGAGAGTATTTGAACTCTCCTTGTCTACTACCTTATCACCTTTTACCGGAGGGCAGCCTTATTCACGGCGCATTTACCCTTCCACACTCTATCTGATCCCACCGGGTAGTTCCACACCGATTGGTAGTAAACGTGGTAGTCCAGATAAATGGCCCGTAGTTGAGGCTTCGATGCGGATGCCCGTCCAGTGGACCGGGCAGTTGGTTGGTTGTAAGCATTCTTGAATTGACTTTCAGTGCATACGTTGTGAGACAAGGAATTTTTCAGGGGTCATGGTCTTTGAGATTGTCAACAACCTCGATGGCAGCAATGCAGATCTTGCTGAGTGCGGCAATGAACCACATAACAATTGGCCAAGTTTGCTGGTTGGGGGGCTTGAAGGTCTGTTGACAATTCCAAGAGTATCCCAATGATGCCTTTGAAGGGGCCTTGGATGGCAATCAGCGAGGTAAGATCACAGGTGTTTTTCTTCCCCAATTGATGCTTTGCAAGTCATTCAATATAGTTGCCACTGCGGTCTTGGATAATAATGGTATGAGGCCTTTTTCTTTGGAGTACCAAAACAAGCCAGCCAGAGGAGCTATGGACTTCAAGGCAATGAATCAATGTTCCTTGTCCGTCAGCAGATGATACAGAATTTCTTCCAGATGTCTGATACATGCTTTGTATCCGTCTGCTGTCAGGCCAAAGGGTTGTCTAGACCATCCGTGGTTCATGTTGGGGTTGTGGGTTCTTGAGATCAGAGGAGTCGGTGAGATCAAGGTGGTGATAATGAAAATCAGAATCCAGTGGGCTCAGTCAAGGTGGATTGAAGTCCAAGGAGAGTAAATTGTTGTCGGAGAAGTTAATTTGGAGTAAGTCAGATAAGTAACATCAAAGGATGAAGAATTTCAAAAAAAAAATCTTCTGGATTTGTTTCTGGAGCTAGAAAAAAAAAGTGTAAGGACTCCGTCAAGTCCTTCACTGTTCGTCGGAAAGGCACTAGAAAAGGGGCTCAATAGCTCCTGAAGGAATGATTCTAGTACCAAAGTGGGGTGAATTGCAGTCTAGACCGGATAGAAGAATCTCTTTTTAGTATATACAAGTGAAGGAAAATGAGAAAAGGAAATGAGAAGAGAAGGAAACGAGAAGGGGTACTTACCTAGACCGGAGAGAAGAATCTCTGCTGTCTAGGTAAAGGAGAAGGGTGAGACTAAATACAAGGTGAAAACAGGCTTATGTAATCTTGTGACAGGTTTGTGTAAGCCTGTGAGGAGCAGGGCTTACAAAGGTGCGTTTGAAGTTGCAGGTGAGGTGTATTGCTTTTAATTTTTTGAGGTGTCTTGTTTTGAAATTGGTAAGGTGTGGAATAGGCCTTCAACGTCTGTTTTGGTGCAAACAGTAGTGAGGTGTAATTTTGAAATGGGTAAGGTTTGCTTAATTGAGACTGTAAAATATGTAGATTTATAGTCGGAAGTTGAGCTGTTCAATGATTCAATTTTGTTGTTTTTGAATTTATGTTGGTGGAATGTGTAAATTTTTGGTGAGGTATGTTGTTTTGAAGTTGATGAGGTGTATGGAGGTACTGAACAGCCATTTTGGCCAAAAAAAATGAAAACATGGGGATGAAGCGCCAGTTTGGCCAAATAAGTCAAATGATGCCCCTGAACCAACGGTGCCACAGAGATGATACGATACGGTATCAGGCGTTTATCTGTATCGTCTCAAAATTTGAATACCCAAAAATACCGGATTTGTGTTGTCTCACTTTCCTGAGACATATACATGTATCGTATTTGAAAAGTGAGAAATGTATTCTGTATCGTCTCAGATGACTGATCCCACCAAAACCGTATTTGATACTTGAGATATTTGGCCGTATTGAAGAAAAAACGAAAAAAACAAAGACAATTTTTATTTTTTTCATTTTTAAATCCAAATCCAATACAATGTATTTTTTCACCAACCAAGGAAATACTGATACCGGTATCAGGCTCAAAATAAATACGATCCGATCTGATACAAATACATGTCTCGTATCTGTTGCACCGTTGCCTGAACCGCCAGAATGGCCAAAGTGAAAATTGAATCTAACCTCCAAATTGGCCACCCATGCTTTTGAACCAACATGATTGCTCCTGGACTGCCAAACATGGCACTGATCCGCCAAATTAGCCATGTATCCAAGGGGTTTTTGACCTCTTCTCAACCCCTTGGACTCTACACCCCCCATAAATACACCCAGTCATCCATGGGAGTGGTAGTACACCTCCCATGGATGATAAACACCCCCATCAAGGACTGATTTCAACCAGTCCTTGATGGGGTAAGCCTCCCGTTGATGAGAAGTAAGGCTGGGCCCCGGGTGATACCCAAGGCCTCAGGAACCTCCCGCGCTGATGCCCTGCAGGTATACCCAAGGTCGGGCATCCAATTTCCTAGTCCCGCAAGGTATCCAACGGTTATCGGGTATGTCCCGTGGGGACCGACTGCCAGATTGCCTTGAGCTACATTTTTTTTTGGTTATTTTTCATCAAAAAAATTAGCATTCCTCCTGAGTAGGTCCCCTGCAACCTCACTCCCAATTTTTCTCTCTGATTTGAACGTTGAAGCCGGCATATGTAATTACAAATACAATCTCAGTTCAGCAAGATGTGGTGTAATATTGCAACCCAAATCTCGGTGGTCCATTGTCACAAACATATGTGGTTTGCAACTAACAGCAAAGAACCATGAGTGCTTCAAGCATGGCCTGGCCATGGCCCTCCTGCCTCTTCTCAATTTTTTTTGTTCATTTCTGCTTCCAAGTACTACTGGAGGTGAAAGGTCGGTCTCCGACCCTTTCCAAGACTCCGCCCGAGTCCATTCCAAAAGATATCCAATTGGGTAAAAATCCCACAAAATACTCCCGCGTTCCGACAAACCGGGTCAGATAGTTGGGTATACCCAACTGAGTTGGGGTCGGGGCCCACCCTTAATGAGAAGTCATCAATGGGAGATGTAGATGTACTTTTATTGAGGACACGCTCCCATCTAGGGGCGGTTTGGTCCTTGATGGGAATAAATGCCCCCATTGATGACTGGTTTTGACTGGTGTAAGACTCAAAAGTGGTTGTGAGAACCCTTTTGCTGAATGTTGAAGGGTATGGTGGAGTTGCAAGCTCTGCCCTTCTGTACTATCAGATAACAAGACCCACCAAGCTCAGCTTGGCAAGTTTTAATCAAGTGATAGGGGTGGTTGGTTTGAGAATAAGTTGTTTGATCGCAATATAATTGTATAAGAGAAGAGGTTTTGAAAGTATGAGAGTGAGTTTAGTGTGTATTACAAGTGTAAGGGTTGTTATAGGATGTTTGTAAGGGTTGTTACAGTATGTAATGTTAATGGTATGGTATGTAATGGTAGGGGGTATGTGATTTTTGGGTACTAAACTGAAGGGAAAAACAACTGGGAGGAGAGCCTCCCTAAATAGACAACAATGAGTAATTTTGGCTCCAAGGGAGCAAGAGAATGAGAGATTTTAGCTGGCCAGAGCTTTACAATGAGGGGATTTAGCTAGTCAGAACATGTACATGAGGTATTTTGGCTGGTTGAGCAACCTACATGATGTCATAAGAGTCATTTTAGCCTGAACTAAAAGTCTAAATGAGGGTTTTATGCTGGTGTAGCATGCTACATGAGGTGATTGTACTAGTCTGCAAACTAAGATGGAGTGATGAAGATTACATGAGTGGTGTGAGATAGTGTGACAGCTGCAAGGAAGAATAACAAATGACATGACAACCTGCATGATTTCACTTGTGAATCCTGAGTGGTTCCAGACCAACACTGCATGTGTCAATATGTCAGAAGATGGTGGAGTGGTGTGTATACTTATGTAGTATGCTGGTGAGAGAGTGTAGTTGTCCTGCAATGTGCATATGTATAGTGTGAGATATGTAATGTTGATGTGTTGGTGGTGATTGAGTGTTGCCATGTTGTTGGGGTGTGTAAGTGAGTGGTGTGAGAGTCCAGAGGGTGTAACTTCCAATTCAGTTGAGTTCCAGTGACGCCTCCAGTGGTGATCAAAGGTGAAATTGAGTGTAGAATCCATTTCTTGAGCCATATTGAGTGATTGGTGAGTGTATGTAGAGTAAAAAAAGCGGGATAGAAAAGAATAATAAAAAACTTTGAATTTTTACACATTCAGCTACCACACCGGTCATCAATGGAGGACACACTCCCATCAAGTACTGGTCCTTTATGGGAGTAAACACCCCAGCTGATGAACGGTTTTGACAGGTCATCAATGGGGGTGTTTACCTCCATCAAGGACCAGTTAAAACCAGTCCTTGATGGGGGTTTTTACCTCAATCATGGACCGGTGTGGTAAGAACAATCAAACCTATAGCCCATAAATAAAAACCTTTTATTACACATAAATAGTAACTAAAATATTAGAGGAGAAGGGGAGGATAACAGAATTAAGCATATAAATACTACTGGGTTAATTCATAGCTAAAACAAATCACAAATCAGGCCTAAAAATACTCAATTTATCATAAATAATAAATATACAAATAGCCTGTAAAAATAAATAAAAGACACTACAGCTATCTTAGATTGGTAAATCAAGCTACTAATCAGAAAGTGCTTCACAGACTAGATCTAGAAAATAACTCTTATACTAGTTAGTCCTAGAATACCATTCTCCTAGCAATTAATCTAAGAATAGGCCTCAGATAGTAGATTTACAACCTCTTGTATTAGAAAGGCACTTAGAGACTAATTCATATCAGACTAGGCCATCTCAGAGTAGTAAAAACCACTCTAGAAGTACCCTTCTCAGACGAACTTGTGTTCAGGCCAAAAATCCCATGTACTGCAGAACAATTTGTCTATAAATAGAGGCTCTTCTGGCCCATGTTTTCCCTTTTTCCTCCTCATGCTAGCTACAGAATAGTAATAAAAGATATTAGTCAGCTTTCATCACCCTTTGATTAAGAGACCCAGAGATTATTAGAGCCCTTGAACTTCCATTATCTCATATTTTGGCCATAGACAAGTAATTCAGAAATATTGCTTAGCCATCCTCAATTCCTTTGCAACAGAAATCAGAGAAATAAGCGTACCCTTTATCAGAGCCCAGAGAGACCAGAGAACCAGAGAGAATTTTTATCAGAGAAACCCTTCAGAAACCCTTACTCCCCAGAAAACCCCATAAACTCCTTACCTCTTCAACAGGTATTCTTAAGCAACAATAACTGTAGTATCAACACTAAGATTAATTTAGAAATAAGCCAAACTCTTATTTTTCTTAGTGTAACTTTCCCGCAAGCTAGACAGGAGGGCAGTCTCACCCACACACCAATACTAATTCTACTATTCCATAGTCTTATTAGCTATTTTATCCCCTCCAAGCTCTTTACTCACTTGCTGAGCAGTTCCACACCAGTTGAAACCAGTCCTTGATGCGGGTTTTTACCTCCATAAAGGACTGGTTAAAACTGGTCCTTGAAACCGGTCCTTGATGGGGATGTTTACCTCCATCAAGGACCAGTAAAAACCGGTCCTTGATGGGGGTGTTTACTCCCATCAATAACCGGTTTTGACCGGTCATTGATGGGGGTGTTTAATCCCATCAATGACCAGTCAAAACCAGTCATCAATTGGGGTGTTTACTCCCATCAATGACCGGTTTTGACCGGTCATCATTGGGAGGACACACTCCCAGCAATTACCGGTCAAAACCAGTCATCAATGGGGGTGTTCACTCCCATCAAGTGTTGAGGTGTCTGATAGTCTGCTACCATGATGTATCACTACATGTCGAACCATGAGCACTACCACCCAACAACCCTGGCAGTCACAAGCGTCTGTAGCCTAGTTGGTAAAGGCAGCACTCTAGTATGTGTCTCAGCATTGCTATAGGCAGCACTCTAGTATGTGTCTCAGCATTGCTGAGGTTGTGAGTTCAACTCTCACCAGACACATCTTCATTTTGTCTGTCTCTACATCAAGGACCGGTTGGGAGTGTGTCCTTCCATTGATGACCAGTGTCATAAATGGTCATCAATGGGAGGACTGTATGGCCAAATTGGCTGATGAATAAGTTTTTTTTCATATTTATTTTTTTTTGGCCAAAGTGGTGGTTCAGTACCTCTATATGAGGTGTGTTGTTTTGAATTTCTTGAGGTGTGTTGTTTTGAAATTGGTGAGGTGTGTTGTTTTGAAGTTGGTGAGGTGTGCTGTTTTGAAGTTGGCATGGTGAGGTGTGCTGTTCCAAGTCTGTGGCACGCACAAAGACATGTCGATGACTCATTGTTTTTCCTTTTGCAATGCAATCGACCTGACTTGACCTCCCAAGGGTCACCTAGGGTCCAAAGAGTCACATACATGTCCATGAGACACACATGTCACCAACTTCTGGACATGGATGTGACTGACACAACAATTGTCAGACACATCCACACCTCACCATGCCAGCTTCAAAACAGCACACCTCACCAACTTCAAAACAACACACCTCACCAATTTCAAAACAACACAACTCAAGAAATTCAAAACAACACCTCCCACCAACTTCAAAACAACACACCTCATGAAATTCAAAACAACACACCTCACCAACTTCAAAACAACATACCTCACCAAAAATTTACACATTCCACCAAAATCAATTCAAAAACAACAAAATTGAATCATTGAACAGCTCAACTTCAGACTATAAATCTACATATTGGGGGGTATCAAATATAGGAAATTCACCATCAGAAACCACTCAATGTTCCAAAAACGTTTTTTGCATAAATGGGCCCCAAAAGGTTTTAAATGGATAACCAACATGTTTAAAAAAAGCTGGATTTTTTCAAACCAGCCAATTAAATAATGGTGTATTTGGTTATATTTGATACCCCCTATTTCACAATCTCAACTAAGCAAACCTTACCCAATTCAAAATTACACAAACATAGATTTTATAATCTTTGAATACACACCTCACAATCAACACACCTCACAAAGTTGAATACACCCCACCAATTTCAAGACATCCTTTCAATTTCAACACAAATCACTAATTCCAAAAAAACAAGACTATGCAAATATGTATTTTGCCATTTTTGCCATCTTTGACTACATGTCTTACCATTAGCATCAATAATCACACAGCCCATTACCTTCAACAACGTACATACAGAACAAACTGAACACTGCAAGGAAACAGACATGCAGAAACATATAGCTTTCATGGAGTGGCCTAAAATTACCCACCCACTTCCTGATAAAATCTGTTTGCAAACTAAAAGAATTAGCTGATGTAATATTTGATTGGCGGCCAAACTCAGAAATAAAATAACCAGTTGTGTTCCCACATCAAAAATCTGGTCTACAGCTCCACCAATCAATCAATGACATGTGGATCCACACCCAAAATCTAAATTGTGGCTGTATGCATTGGGATATGCCCCCACCTACCAGATACTGGTGTGAAGTCCCACATTCCAAAACATTGCATATTGATTTATGGTGGCCTTGGCTGAAAATCATAACTCTTACAAGTCATCATTTTCTGGGAGGAATTCCCCTACACTGTGGAAAAACCTCAAGAAACTGCACCCAGTTGAAATACAGAAACTCTTGTGAAAGTTGGGTTGCTACTCATATGTTCCTCAGCCATTAATTCAGCCATACTTCCATGCAAATCTAATGTGCAGAATTTTTTTTGCATTGAAAATGATTTCAAAATGACACACATTATGTTGGGAGTAACCTGCATGTCAACCACTACCAGTTTGGTGAGAGGATGGTGAGAAAATTTGAAAAAGGTTAAAAATGATTGCACCTTAAGGGCCTGTACCATAGCACCTCAGCCAATTTCCATTTGCATTTTTTATCGTTTTATTTTTCACCAGCCAAAATTAATTTTGGGGTTGGCACTGAAAATCTGCTGTACTGTGGAAAATTGGGTTGCATGGTATACAGTCACCATTTCTGGAAGAGTCAGTTTCCAACCTGGAAATTGGGAATTCACCTGAAAATTGGGGCTGTGGTACAGGCCCTAAATTTATAGGGGCTTGGAAAAACGACTCCCAAATTTTAGTCGACGACTCCCGTTTTGGTTGGGAGTCGTTCTTCCAATTCCCGGGAGTCGTCGGCCGAATTCCACAGGCGATTTTTTATTTATTTTTAATTGAAAATTTGGGAGTCGTCCGCCTAAAAGGCGGGAGTCGGCGCCCCAAATTTGATCCTTAATTTTCTTGATTCTTTTTTTTTTCCTTGGGAGTCGTCAGGCTAATTTCCCCAGACGGAAAGGGAGTCAATGGCCCAATCGTCCAAACTGACAACTGGGCTTTTTTTCGTCTCGCAGGAGTTGTCGACAAATCCCCAGGAGTCGGCTGGGGAGAAGAAACCTTGTTTCTTCTCCCACACAGGAGTCGCCGCTCCACACCCATATCCTCCCCTCCTCCCATATCCACTCCCCCCACCGACTCCCCGCCCACCCAACCAACCACCCAACCAACTACCCAAACCAACCAACCAACCAAGCAACCAACGACCCAACCAACCAACCAACCAACCAAACCATGTCCAACTCCACCATCCCCGCTCGCGCCACCAAAGGACACCGCCTCAGCTCATGAAGGAGTGGAAAGAAAAGGCGTCAGAAGAGGCTTGGGGATGGGAAGCCCAATTTGCTGATTCTTTCAAATTGACTGTAGAGAGGAAAATAGAAAATTCAATGAAACACTACTAGGGTTTTTTTTATCCTGTGTCTTTTTTAGTTTTTAATTTTTTTCCTCTATGTCCTTTTTTACCCTGTTTTTTTTTCTTACATTTCTGATCATTTTTGAATGTTTTTGGCCCGTTTGTCATCTCTTTTATCTCTTGCAATGGTTTTTCTCAATCAATCTAATTTTTTTATCATTGATAAATTGCCTTTGGGGTGGGGCCTCAGTGGCTCAACCTTTTTTTGGAGTCTCTGAGGGTGCCATATGGTGACAACTCCCATTTCTAGTTGGACGACTCCCGTCTTTTTTTAATATAGAAAAAAAAGGCAAAACATTTGGTGGAATTGGTGCAACGAATCCCTCGTATTAGGTGGACAACTCCCGTCAATTTTAAATATAAAAAAGGGCGAAATATTAGGCGGAATTGGTGCGCCGACTCCCACACTTTAGGCGGACGACTCCCTATTTTTTTAATAAAAAAAAATGAAAATTCTCCAGGTAAAATTAGTGCGACGACTCCCTATGTTTTTTTGGGAATTGGAAGAACAACTCCCGACCAAAACGGGAGTTGTTGACTAAAATTTGGGAGTCGTTTTTCCAAGCCCCAATTTATAAGCAGAAGTTCTGTAAAATTTCAAGTCCTCACAGATTTTGATCAAGAACCAAAGAGTTCATATTTTTCCAGAAAAAATCTGGCCCTCAAGGCCATAGATTAAATGATAAATCTGTGGGGTCCTCAAATTTAGATAGTAATTCCTACATTTGGAGGTCTACACATCAAATCTGTGTCCCTTGCCAATGTTGATCTAGGGCCAAAAATTCTAGATGCATGTGAGGCATTTTGGCCTTCAAGGCCTATTTCAAATCTACAGGGTCTACAGATTGTGTAATTCTTGCTGATGGCCCTTTAATATTATCATACTAGTGTCTAAAGGCGGCTTTGCCGCCTAGTCTAATCCCAATCTATTCAAAGTTTATTATCTTAATTAGTAGTATGTAAGCCAAGATCCCCCAGTGCCCAATGGCTAGGTCCGTGGGCCCAGTGACAAGGGGAACATTTAGGGAAGAGCCAAGGGGTTCAAATGATTAGCCCTCTGCACATTTTGTATCAATGAAATTTATTTTCATAGAACTGTTGGGGTTCACAGAAATAGGAGTATTGACACGGGATAAGAGTTGTTTT